CCCCAAAACCCCAAAACCCCAAAACCCCAAAACCCCAAAACCCCATGTGCAATAAAATTAAATTTGTACAAATGATGAAGAAACTTTTGACTACAATAGTTATTCTTTGTTCGTTAATCAATCCCATTTGAGGTGGTAAAACTCACTGATGTCACCAGGAAATGAGACCAAAGATATATGTAAGTCCCAATTCCCTTAGATTATTTTTCTCACAATTACATTAACCATTCTGTGCTATCCTAAAAGCATCTTTTTGTTATTCTGCCTCTTAAGATACTTATTCTCTTAAGAACATTCTTACAAAATAAGCTATGGTAGAAATCCTGAGTTATTTTACCTTCAGTTTTGTTACTAGAGATAGGGGTCTTAGATGGTGCTAGTTGAGGAGTGGGGAGAGAACTGGCGGGATTGTGAGATTAGGAGGGTCATGAAGATATTGGGGGAAGAAGGGGGAGGGTAGAGAATGAGAGTGGGGTTACAATGGGTGGTGGATCTGTTCTTAGAGGATGTATAGGGGATTTGTAGAGTAGTCAGTCATTTTTTGGTTGGTAGTGAGATATTTCGGGCAATATTCGGCCCTTTTTGGATAGAGATTATGGTGGTTTAAGGGAGAGTAGGTTACTTAGTGAGAAAGATTCATGATGAGAATATGAAAATTTAGACTACTCCTCTCTAGCTCTTTTGCCTTTAATTAAGAGTTTAGCCTAAGTATCCTTTATAAAGGCCACATCTAATCTATTATCCATAAGCTATCTGGGATTTTGAGGTAAGAAAAGACCAAAACTATGACCTATAAAACTTTAGCTTAGTCTGATTTAGATACATCATTTTGTAAGTAAAAGTCAAGACATGAAAACTTCCTTTACTAGAGTAATTCTCATTATTTGAGCAAAGGGAGACTAGCATTTGGCCAACAACGACTCTGAAGTTCCACTATTCTGTTAAATAGACTTATCCCTCAGCTTGTAGGGTTTCAGTCATTTTCCATAATCCTTATGCACAAAAGTTGGATATTTCTAAATTTGTGTATCTTTTTAAGTTGAAAATTCTGGTCAGAAATTAGTCTAAAGATTCATAAATTAATTGAATTTAGGAACAAAAATTTGGTATAAAGGAAAATCAAAATAGCTCTTCAGATATTGAGCATATGATATTTCAAGCTTGTAATGACATAGAGATTCGCTTTGAGAGAGAGCTGGGACAAGAAATTGAATTAGAGCATAATTTCACTGGCAAATGGTAATATGTTGTTGAAGTTTTAGGGCCACAATTGACCAAAATCATTCTAGAATAAAGGGAACTCCTACTGTCAATGATATTGGTAGTTATACTATCAATGTTGTTTATAAGAGTCAATCTGGATCCAGAGTATCAAGAAATATATCGGTAGAGATCTGCGGGAACTTATCTGCTAGTTCTTTGAAAAATTGCAGCAGTGAATCTACTGAAAATGTTTCTCAAATTTTGGATTATCGAAAGATAGCGCCTTTGAAGATTCCGCAAATGCAGAAAAATGAGATTTCTCATACCAAATCTGTTGAGATTCCTCTGAATCAAAATACAATAGTGAAAGATAATCAAACTGAAGAAAAGGTATAATATTTCTTCTCCCTAAGCATGGAGAACTTGATTTATCAGAATTTATTTCAATTTTACTATAGATTTTTGTTCTTTTCCTTAAATTTTCAGATGCTAACTTTTAGACAAACGATGATACAAATTGGATATTAAAAAATCTAGTGCATAGAAACCTGCAGCCTACCTCAAACCAAGCTCCTCACTTCAGTTCAGGTGTGCCAAGCATCCCTTCTGCTACTATATCCCATCTGTACACTACCTCCATACATAGATCTTGGTTTACAGATCCTGAGGATGACTTATTCCTAGTCACAGGTGTCGATATTAGCCCAAAGGATTACTCTACTTCTTTTAATCCCACCACTGGAATGTTCTCTATGTTTCCCATTGACAATAGCCTGACTGGGTCTTACACCTTATTGGTTACAGTAACTGATTACGGTACAGAGAGTTTATGACCAGTATAGACGGCCAGCCAGGAACGGAGACGACTATTCACAACGTAACTTTGGAAATCCCTTTAATGATCTTACCCAATGCAGCCCCATATTTGTTAAAACCTCTGAAGGAACTCGGGTATATGGTCAAAGGATTTGAATTGTCTCATTGTATTCCTAAGATTTATTTCAGAGATCCTGAAGGTGATGAGATCATCTACAATGCCTTCTTAAAGGTAAGCCTGTTAGGAAATAGTTAAAATGTACTTGAAATAACTGGTATGTACGCACAAATTTTATCAACTATCTTGAATGTTAAAGCACCATTTTATAGAAAGGAACAAGTAGCCAACTCCAATGGCTAGTTATAGAAGAGACAGAAGAATGTATTCGTAAGTATATGTATTAATATTGCTATAATTTTAACTGAAAGCACTCTTTTCAGTAAACTAAACCTATTGTAGAACTTTCAGGGACACCAACTATTTGAAATGTTGAAGATAAATTAGTAATCCAGCTAAGCAACAATATCCTGAACCAGGCTCCCACAGTTATTGAAATGGACATTAGTGTTCACACTTGAGCCTATTCTCCTAATATTGTTAACGCAAAAGCCCCACCGAATGGGTATTACGGAGTGGAATACACGTACACTTTTAAATTTGAATGGATTCAGGAACAACTAAATCTAGGGATGACTCGGTTCCAACCATACCATCCTTGGATAATTTATGATAGCCATCTCTCAATTTCGCCATCGTAAGTATATACCAAAGATAATGATAAAATACATTAAAACTTCTCCTAATTTTCCAATGATTACTTGTGTAGACAATTTGCTCATCATACAAAATTGTATATTCCTCAACGATGAGCATATTCATCTCAAATAATGTAGCAATGAAGCTTGAATCTGACATTCTCGTTTACACCTAAACCTGTTAAAGTTAATTTAGACCCTTTTAAAGCAGGTTTTTTATCATCATAGGAATATATGGAGGTTTAAATAACTGGTCAGCTTTAATAAAAAATATATGAAATTCACTAAAATTTGACCTAATTCATCCCCTTGGATTTATAATGTTAAATATAATCACTCATCTTTGCAAAAGTACAGATTGGGAAAGAATTGAGCCTGACTTATTTTAAATACACATTCGAAGATTTCAGGAATACTCTTTTAACTCTAAAAGAGATGTAGAAGAGCAGAAATATTTTTTTTAATTATCCAATCATATGCTTTGAGAAATTTGAAAAAATCTAGAAAGTTTCTATCTGGGCTGAACCGCTTTAGAAAATATTTGAATAGATTGCACCCAAAGTTGTGCTAAATCATATCGCCACTGCTGACATGTTGAAAAGTTGATAGATATCCTTAGCTCTATAAGATTTGTGCCCATCCAACACCCAAATTTTGTTAAGGGCTTTATGAATTACTCCAAATGCGTTCTTACTTCTTTACCAAAAGTAGCATGCTTATTAGGTAAAAAGTGCTTAGAATTATATTAAAACTGCATTAAATTATACTCACCTTAACCTCTTTTGTCTCATAATAAGAAGAGCTGAGCCCATTTTAATTATAGTGGACCCTTTAGAACCTTAGTCTTCTAAAACTTTACATAACTATTCTAGCTTTAAGTTTGATGAGTAGACCTCAGCTAATTTGTAGTTGAGACTTGGCTTGATGTGGATGATTCCTGAAGCAAGCTTCTTAGTATTCTAATGATTAAGCCCCAATTCATCTCTAATGCCAGAGATTTCAACAACTTTTGAGTTACTGCTAGAAATATTTTAGATCCCAACCCATTGAGGCATGATAAGGAACTTTTGAGTAAAGCTAACTTTCTTATTTTTATGATAATCTTAAAGGAACAAATTGTTTTAATTTATTAAGTGAATATTTCTTCCCTGAAATTTCTCTCATATGGGCTGCTTGCCTATATTTATACAAACTCTGAGATGAATCAGCTCAACTGCTGAGTTCTTGACTAACCCTGAACGATATAGAGGATGGGTTACCATTAAAGGAACACCAAGCTTTTACACTTCAGATCCGAATAAATTTATGACAACTATTTTTGTATCTAAATATGGTGAAATTATCTATCGTAATATTGATCTTTCAGCCATTTTTACTGAACCATATCCACCAGTATTTTTACAAGAGATTTCCCCTGGAATCCTAGAAAATATAAAAATTGGTAAGATTCTCTATTATCGTTTAGAGGTCCCTAATGGGTTGGAGTTGGACTTTGGAGAAGACAAAGTTATTGACCTTGAAGGAACCCCTATTACATTTTTAATTGAAACCGATCAGCCCTCTCCTCAAGGTATGGAATTTTTCAACAACGGAACGATCAGGATTCACCAAACCAATGACTCGATGGTGGGAGATTACTTGATAACAGTCAGTGCTCAGACTCAATACAATGCTAGATCTGATGCCAAGTTTACACTTTCAATTATTAAAAACTCATCACCGGTTAGTAAGAACAATGTAAGCATTAATTACTCAATTTCCAGTTAGATCAAACTCATAATGCTTTATGAGGCTTTTAGAATTTTTTCCAATTTCAGGCTGTTAGCGCCTGGTTTATTCCTGATATATTAGAACAATCATTGTTAAAGTTCAAAACTCTTTCACCCAAATTGACTAAAACTCGAGAGGGGTGTAGCTTATCATGTCACACCCTTCCATGTCTGGAAGTATACAGTAATCTTGAAAATACAATTCGAAGGAACATTTTTGAAATTTCTTGGTCTTTAATCCAACCAGCAAGTTTTTAATGTGAGCTAATATTACAAAGTTGTAAAAAATCCTATACAAATTTTCCCTGAAGTCTGGTTTAATAAATCCTCTTGCTAATTTTGTAAAGATGTGTAGAATCGTTAAATCTGTACTAAGATGTACCTTGAGCTAAGTATACAAAGACATGGAGCCCTTCACTCCAAACTCTCTCACTTTTTTCTATGGATTCTACGATATTGCTCTGATGAATAGGATTTAATACCCTTATTAGTAAAATATTTAGACTTTATTTACTAATCTGTGTTAGCTATTAATAAGATGTTAGGAAACACAGAAGTATCTAGCTAATTGAGAGCGAAGAATTTATGAATTAGCATTTTATATTCACATATGTCTGATCATAACACCTCAGAAAATCGAAATCTCACAGAAGTAGAATAGTAGTTAAGAAATACTTAAAAAATTCTTTTGGAAGGAAAATTGATACAATATAAACTCATTGAGCCTAAAATTTTAAAGAAAACAATAAATTTTATGATTTCGAGCAGCTTTTCAATCTCATGAATGCTTTAAAAATTAATCTGATAGATGTATGAAGTTGTATTAAAGTGGTTTAAAAACTAAAAGAATGTCTTCTCGAGATTTGGATAATACAAATTAATTCAAAAGTAAAATTAGCCAATCAAGCCATATTGCCTCTAATTTTCAAATTTCTTTGAATAATCTCTAATAATAGTTATAGTTAATTGCGGATATACAAACTCAGCCAGGAAACTCTTTGCATGTGAGATTGGGAGACCCTTATGAATTGTTTGATGATCCAAACTCACTTGAAATGACAGCCTCTCTTTCAAGCAGTTCAGGTGGAGATATACCATCATTTGTTCAATATTATGCTTCCAATCATTCAATACTGCTAACTCCAAAAGTTGAACAGATTGGGATGTACCAGGTGAAGTATACAGCCACAAACCAGAATGGCTATAGTGGAGAAATATTCTTCAAAATATATGTAAATCCTTGATACTATACATGAGAAACTTGATCTGGAGAAAATGTAAACCAATGCTTTACTTGTGCTTCTGGTTATTACTTTAGCCAGAATTCTTGCGTTAATCCATGTCCTGGAGGATATTTCATCAATCCAGGAGCTCAGGAATGACAAAAATGTCAGGATTATTGTCAGTCTTGCACTAGTTCATCAACCTGTGACAAATGAGAACCCGGAAGTTTCTCGTATCAAGATAGTTGTTACCAGACTTGCCCAGATGGGTTCTACGGTGATACAGAGACTTGGAGTTGCCAGCCTTGTCATGAGAGCTGTACAAAATGATTTGCGCCATCTCAGAGTCAATGAACAGAATGAAATTCAACCTTATTGTACTCATTGTTAGAGACAACCTGAAATTTAGTAGTGTGAGTCAGCAACCAGTATCTTAACAAAACAGATTTGGCTTGTCATGACTGTATTGAGGGCTGAGATTCATGCAAGTTTGAAACTCATGATCAGTGCCAGCAATGAGCAAGCGGATATATAATGATTACTGATACCAAAACATGATCCCCTTGAGATAGCCTCCCAGGATACACAACAGACAATTACGGTAACTGAATTGAAATTTGAGGTGATGGAGTTGATAAAGGACAGTATCAATGAGATGATGGCAATCTTCTCAATGGAGATGGATGCTCAGACACATGACAAGTTGAGGTTGGCTATGTCTGAGAAAATGGTATTTGAAGAGAAGTTACTCCCCCTTCAGGAAGAATATCTTATGTATCTCCAAGAAATATCTTAACAATCAATTTCACGGAGCCTGTTGTGATAAAAGACTTTGATAAGTTCCAAAAGTCTTTGAGAGTAGATATTTTAGGACCGCTATACTATAACTATGATTTTCAGGTTTACGATCCAGGAAATGCTACCAAGGATGCTGATAATATAACTGAGTTCAAGCTCAGGATATTCAATATCAAGACACATTTATACGGAAGCAATAGAGAAACTATCAGAATAGAGATTAAGAATGCTTCTCTGATAGAGGATTTGAATGGAAATATTCTTTCTCAAAACTCCTTCGTTGGAAGCCTCAACAAATTTGAGTATATTTCAGAAGGTACTATTCATTGCTTATATATAGATACCCTCAGAAATGTCGACACAATGGGAGGAAGTGTAGAAATCTCGATCATACTGGTATTCGTAGTAAACTTGCTCTTCCAGCTGTCTATGTCCTCCTCTGATTCTTTCATGTGGTCTCTGATCCATTCTTTACAGATTATTCGGTACATCTTTTTAGTAAATGTCAAAGTCCCACAAATCTTTGAAGTATTCATAAAATACCTAGCAATCACAATCGGAGAGGTTGATAAAATTTATGGATTCATTCCAAATTGGTTCTCTGCATATGTAGTAGATACTTCTGAATTAACCGAAGGAGTTACAATTGGCGAAAAGTTTGCTGAAAATGGTATTTTAGACCAAATTAACCTATAGGATATATATTTCCGTTCTGAGCCATTATTTTCAACAAGAAAGTTACTATCCTTGGTGGATCACTTCTCATCATAGTTCTTAGTTGTCTGGCTGCAAAGTCTTTACTGAGCAAGTACCAATGGATTCAGACAAGAATTCAGCAAATCTGGAATGACTTATGGTGGAATTCATGTGTCAGAACTTTAGTTGAATTATTTATTGAAATATCATTTGCTTTCTTCCTCAATTCACTAAACGTAAGTTTTGTGTGTAATTTCTAGGTCAAATTTGAAAATTTAAGCATAGGGCTCTGATCAGTAGTAATGATCTTTTTTGGAGTAATTCTTCGAGTAATTGTCTAGATTTTTGTCCTGACATGTCCATTTAAAACTTTGGATCTAATTGTTAGCAATCCAAAGACTCTTAGAAGAAGTAATTTTAAGCAGAAATTTGGGACCCTGATCAAAGATGTGGACCTAAGGCGGACTTGTATTCAAAGAGCTTATTACCCAATCAGGCTGTTTCAGAGGTTGATGCTGACTTTCATTCTGGTGATGTTTTATGACTACCCTCTGTTTCAGCTTATTTCTTTCACATTAATACAGTTAACAGTAAGTTTGGAGATCATCTCTAGATGTGTTACTACGAATTCAGGTTGATTCCATTAAAAGATGAACTACACAGAGTCCTAGTTTGAACCGATGAGGTCATCATTATGGGTTGTCTGGTCTTTCTGTACTACTTCCACTTAGTACCAAGCGATATCACAGAGGATACTTTCATGGCCCTGGCTCTTATTTGCATTATTTTCCTCAGCTTTTTCAAAACTGCTGTGATTATTTTAATAACCTTTATCAAGAGATCAAGCGATTGGATTGATGTCAAAGTTTTTAAGATAATAGCTAAAAACAATATGAAATCAAGGAATAAAAAGAAAAATGTTGTCAACAGTGAGTCCTATTGTTAAACTTTAGAGCAATTAAGCTTTGCAAAGAATAGCCTGAGTAATTTAGTAGTTTATGATATCCTCTAGTTGTTCAAATTAGGAATACGAGCAAAACACCATTCCTTGATAAATGTATTAAAAAATCTCCTTCTATCAAAAGACAAAAAATTAGAAAATTCTCAACCAACAACCCCACCTACAAAACACCACCCCTAGTCCAAAATCCAATTCCAAACACAATAACAAGCTCCAAAACCATCTCAGAGGTCTCCTTCAAACCAAAATCCATCCTCAAAGATTTAACCTCCACCAAAACCCTCTCCTCCCCTCCAAAACCCTTCCACCGCCGTGTAAAATTCCTAGATCCCTCGAATCCCCTCTAAATTCCCTTTTACCATATCTTCAACCTCTCCCTCCACCCTCGGGGTTTTGGGGTTTTGGGGTTTTGGGG